GTGCTGTCAGGGAGAAGACCGATTGACTTTAAATTTACATATTAATGAGAAGATTTGTTAAGGGGGTGCTTGACTATAGAAAATAACAGCATATTTATAGGGCATGACATTTTATAAATAAAGCTGATGCAGGAAAATGGAAATTAAACCTTTTAGATTAATACATTCAAGAATGGTAAAATGCATATTTGCATTTTTATTTTCTGAATTTACCTTCCTTTCAAAGTAGCAGATTTTTACCCTTACTCTTAAATATGCAGTGCTCTAAGAATTAGTGATTTTGAATAATTTTTGGGCCCCAATAGTAAAGAAATCCATGAGTAAAAGGGAGAGAAAGACAGAAATGTGAGCCTGCACTCCTATGAGAGAATGAACATTTTTATCTATACAGTATTGTGATTTTGTGATGGTACATATTGAAATGTAACATTTCATACAAATGAATTTGTCGGAATAGCTTTTCATCAGGAGTCAACAGTTCATTAGTAGTTTGGCTTTAAATTGTGAGCTATGCAGAATCATTGGCCGCAATCCTGTTGCTTAGCATAGTAAGTTGCCCTTGAGGAGTCCCACTGAATCAGTAAAGTATTGGTGAGTCAACTCTTTTGTAAGTTACAATGATTCAAAAACTCTTACTCTAGTTGTACTTTACTATGCTAAAGTAAGTTGTAACTGGAGTATGGTCATTTGAATCAACAGAATTTATAGAGCAGTTGGCTTATTTATTCCCCACTGATTCAGTAGGCCTGCTCTTGTGGAACTTACTGCTTTGAGCAACAGCATTTCAGGCATTGTTACTGTAGACCAGTGGTTCCCAATCCTGTGTCCCCAGATGTTCTTGGACTAAAACTCCCAGAAGTCTTCACCACTAGCTGGTCTGGCCAGGATTTCTGGGAGTTGTAGTCCAAGAACATATTGGGACCCAAAGCTGAGAACCACTGCTGTAGACAGATGTATTGGGATCTGCATCTACTACTTTGAATCATTCTTTGCTGCAAAATATCTGAAGCTCGACCCGTTTTAGCAATTGTTCAGAATTCCAAGAGAGTATACCAGAATACAGTGGACCCTCGACCTATGGAATTAATCCATATTGGAACGGTGGCCGCAGGTCAAAAAGTCCGTAGGTTGAGGGTCCATTTCCCATAGGAATGCATTGAAAACACTGTAATCCATACGGCCTAAGAACCCGCCCCCCACAAAAATGTAAAATAAACACCTTACTGGTTCGAAGCCTTCCAGGGGTCCCCGCCGCCGCTGTCGCAGCTGCCTGAGGTCTCCAAGGGCTTCCCCGCCACTGCCGGAGGCCTCCTGGAGGTCCCCCACCCCCCACGGACGCAGGCGTTCCCAGGGTGGACCAGGCCTACCAGGGGAGAGCTTCCCCTGGTAGGCCCGGTCTACTCCTCGAGAAAGCCTGGTAGACTGGGCCTACTGGGGGAAGCTCTTCTATATAACTGCTGCTTGCAAGATGCTTCCCTGTTTTTATAGCTGAAATAGTGTTTACAAAAATGTCATTTTGGCAAATTCTACCTCCCCTTTGCAGATTGGAGTGTACTCCAGAACAGGGTAGGAGGTACAGCGGTGCCTCGATTTACGACCATAATCCGTTCCAGAAGATGGACGTAACTCGAAATGGTTGTAAGTCGAAGCACCATTTCCCATAGGAATGCATTGAAGTGCAATTAATCTGTTCCAATGTAAGACTCATTGGAAACATGATTAATCACTTCTGGCCGAAGGGGGAGGGGGAGAAAAGCAATCAAGCGTGCAAGACCCATTGGAAATGCACAGAGAACAAAGGGGGCAGGTCGGAAAAACCAAGGGAAGCATGCAGGACCCATTGGAAATGGGGAACCCCAAAAACAAACCCCCAAGGCCCATCGGAAATGAAGAACCCCCCAAAAGCAGACAAACCCCCGAAGACCCATCGGAAATGGGGGAAAACCCCCCCAAAACCAAACAAATCCCCCAAGACCCATCAGAAATGGGGAACCCCTCAAAAAACCAACCCAAGCCCCCAAGACCCATCACAGCACAGAAACATAACCCCCACCCACCTCAAAACCACGCTGCAAAAACAATTTTTAAAAAGCAGAAAATAGCACCTTACCTTACCAGGCAGCCCGAAGCCTCCCTGCAAAACACACACACACACACACACACACACACACACACACACACACACACACACACAAACAAACAGCCTCCTCCGATGCACACACACTAACTGCTGGGGCAAAAGAGCTACAAAGAAGCAGCCTCGTCGCCACCTACAGTTAGAAATTAGAATTTCCCGCCTTTCCCCCCTGCCTTTTTCTGTTCGTAAGTGGAAGCTCAGGTCGCAAGTAGAAGTAAAATTTTGTGGCTGGAGCTGGTCGTAACTCGAAATGGTTGTAAGTAGGGATGTTGATAAGTCGAGGCACCACTGTACAGTGGTGCCTTGCTTAGTGATGTTAATCTGTGCAGGAAAAATCGCTGCTAAGCGATAACATTGCTAAGTGAAAATAAAAAGCCCATAGAAATGCATTAAAACGCGATTAATGCATTCCTATGGGCTAAAAACCCACCTTTAAGTGAAGATCCTCCATAGGGGCGACAATTTTCGGTGCCTCTTAAGCGAGGAAACACAGCGGGCGGCCATTTTGTTTACCCGGTGGCCATTTTGAAACCGCTGATCAGCTGGCCGAAAATGAAGGCTTTGCGATGATCGCTTCCCTACGATCATCGCAAAGCGAAATTTTTCCATAGGGACCATTGCAAAGCAATCACTTTTGCGATGGCAAAAAGTCCATCCCAAAGCGATTTTATCGTGATACGGAACGATCGCTATGCAAGGCACCAGTGTATTGCTCTGAGGTGGAGAAATAAAACAAGCAATGTAAAACAAGTTATTCTTCACACAGCTGTGTAATGAATACCCAGAAAAAATAAAGTTTGCTTCCAAGGTAACTTCCTTGTAAGTCAGACTCAAAATTGCCTGTATCATGGATTATCAGGTCCCTTATTCGTAAAGGTTTCCAGGTCAGTGTTCAGCTTACTGAGGTGTTCTTTTTAGAATGAGACGTTTTTCATGTGATAGCTTCCCTCCCCCATACTTTACTGCTGTGTTTAACGACAGCTTCCAACATGTTGAACCTGGATGACTTGACTGGAGGAGAATGGAATTTGTAGTCCAACACATCTGGAAGATAATATCTGGAGTTCTTTTATAATATGATTAGAAAGCACGACCATCTGTGTGAAGATAGTTTGTCCTTATTTTTAGAATAGTATGTTCTTCTTTCCCATTTTTGTTCTATAAGATTCAAGATTTAATGTATTCTATACAACCATAATAACAATGAAAAGATTTTGAACAATTTAATAGGTCTTGTGGCCTTTGTTCCATCCTATGGAACCCATGGAGCCAGACTAGACTCCACAGTGTATATGGTCAGGGGAACTACTGGGTTCTGGCCACACATTGATATAGCAGAGAAACTACACAGCCCTGTCCTTTGGTTGAATTTTCTTATTTCTGTTAGAGGCCATAGGCTGGGTTGTGAAGAAGAGAAATAAATTTGGACATAGGGGCTCTTAGGCAAATAAGAAGTGGCTGTTAGAGGGCTTATTGTCACACCTGGTTTCCATGGTCAGTAGTTGCTTGCTGCTAGTAGTAGTGGTCTATAAATAGCAATTTCAGTGGGACTGCTTGAAGATGGGCATACACCAAAATATTTTTAGGTGAGTGTTAAGATTTTGGTTGTGCCCACTAGTTGATACTGTATGTGAGCCTTGGACTGAAATGGTTGTATATCACTTATGTTACATAACAGAAAGAGATATGTGACAGATAATGTAGTCTTTTATACAGGTTATAAAAGTTATGCATTTTTAGATGAGTACTAACTAAAGTTGTGGTCATAGCTGTGTTTCTGTCACTGAAGTCATGTTGCACATTTACACAATCTGATATTGGTTGAGGAACTGATTTAACTAGAAAAGAAAAAGTTTTTAGCATTCTGTGGGTTACTAGTCCCAACTGTAGTAGACTCATTAAATGAATGGGATTTTTAAACTGTTGACTTCCTATTCAGCAGCTGATTCAGTGGCCTGTTCTGGTTTGGGTTAACATTTAGATTTAGGCCTATAGGTATTTTTAGAACTTTAACAGAAAACATGTACAGACTGGCTGAAATCCTGTTGCATGGCTCCGCATGCACAACAGGATTACATAATCATCAGCAAATTGCCATTGATTAAAGGCAAAATGCCACCGATAAAGGCAATTTCAGAGTCTGTGTGACTATACATGATGCAACAAAGTTGTATGCACTGCAGCATCCCCAAAGACAGAAGCCTTTAATCAGCAGTGATTTGTTGCCTCTTCTGCCATTTTCCACACATGGAGCTGCGCAACAGGGTTTCAGCCAATAATTTTGTACATGAATTAAGTCCTTTTAAATGTTTGTCTCTGGATTATCTATAATGTTGGAAGAGGGAAAACGTAAAACATAGTTTATATCTTTTAAAATATGCCAAATGTTGCTTTCAAAAGAGTTGGACAATCATCTTATTCTCATGTTGTTTTGTGATGGTTTTTGGAAAATGGATGCTTAAATATATTTTAAAGGTTAATCTATTATTGGGATTAGATTTTGTCGCTAGAATAAAAAAGGTTTCATGCTGTATTTCCTACAAGATGTATTTCTGTGTTTTGATTTATGGATCTATTACTGTGCTGTGTATAGACATAATAGTTATTAAGGTCCTGCTTGGTCAGCTGAATTTCAGAGGCCAAGGCAGCCAATAGATCTTTCCATCAGATTCTGAGAAAGAAACAGATTTCTTATGTTTAAATTGTCAATAATCTCTTGAGAAATTTAAGCTGTAGTTGAATTCAAAAAAGTTAAATTTAGAAGACGGTATCTGAAATCTATAATTTTGATGTCCCTTGGCAGTAAAAAATATTTATTTAAATTAATTTTTCAATTTTTTAAAATTCTGCTGTCTGTTTATAGGATGGTGTTCTGGAAGATTATACTGAAAGAAATTTCTATGACTCTGATGAGGAGCATGAAGAGAAAAATCAGAAAGTTCAGAAGCCTTATTCCATGGACCCAGACCACAGATTACTGATACGCAATACAAAACCTTTGTTACAAAGCCGGAATGCAGCTGTATGACACATTCTCTTCATAACATGTCTTCTTTTTTGTGTTAACCATAGTATAAGATTTGGAGTTAAAGATGTAGAGTATAGATTATGGAAACAGACTTTCCTTTTCATGTCTTCCAATGTAGCTTTCCCAGCCTCCCATGAACTTTGGGGAACTCTGCAAAATAGGATGGGCTGTGGTTCAGAAGGCAGAAAGATGTATCTTTCAAAATCAGTGGCTCAATTTCTACAATCAGCAATCTCCCTAAAGTTCTCTCTTTCTGAGTTTTCAGGATATGTTCTTTTCCTAAGCCACACTGTTTTTCATTGCGTTCTCTTTGCATTCAGTCTAATGGGTCTGCATCTTTAAGAACCTTCTAGACAGAGCTTTTACTTTTGCCAAGCCCTCCCCCATAGTGATGTTTCAAGTGCCTCTTCTCCTCAGGTCTGTCATGTCTGTAACAGTGACAATACCCACATAGAACTGCTCTGGGAGCTTCATTTGATTTAGACCAGTGGTTCTTAACCGTTTTGAAAGAAACGCCCCCTTGAGCCATTGAGGAAGTTATCATCGCCCCCCTCCCCGCAGTGATGATATCTTTCTTGTTTGTTTGTTTGTTTGTTTGTTTGTTTGTTTATTTATTTATTTATTTATTTATTTATTTATTTATTTATTTAAAAAGAAATATAAAAAGGGCATAAAAACAAATGCAGGAACTAAAAATTTCAAGACAAAAAGTCTGAAGCTAAATTAAAATTGGAGGAAAATATATATTCATGCACACTGTAAAAAGGCTGCAGCCATCTTCACAGGTTTGGCTTGCTCCAGTGCCCCCCTACCGCCCCCTTCTGCTCCGGTGCCCCCACGCCACCCCTTTTCATTCTACCGCCCCCCTGAAAAATGAAATCGCCCCCCTGGGGGGCATTATTGCCCACATTAAGAACCACTGATTTAGACCATTGTTACTGTTTAATAGACTTTATTGGGTTTTAATCTTAGATAGTTGACACTTCTTACGTTTTTGCTTGATTTTTTAAAAAAATGATTATGCAGCAATAATTGTCATCAGGACTTATGGCCCCAGGAATTTTTTCAGATAGTACATGGAATGTTGGAGAAAGATTCCACTTTCAGACCCCACAAAAATGGATATTTTGCTTAGGAGAAGTCCATAAGACCCTTTCCTGTAAAATTTGCTTTTTCTTTTCTGCTCAGACCCAATGAAATAGAAGCATGAGGTTAAAATCTTAGACAGAGTGATGTCAGCAACAGTGAAACAGCATGAGCTGCTACATCAGGAGAAATGGAGTCATTCTGTAAATTACGAAGAGTCCTAAATGTTCTGATGACTTCAGGTATCATCTGACATAGCACCTACCTCTATAGCATCATTGTGTGAACTGACACAACAGATCTCAGCCTCACTTCCATTGCCCATAATGTTGGTGTTATCTCAGAAAAAGGCCTCATTGGTACCAACCATGTTGATATCTAAGCACGAAGTGGGCAGGTCTAAGGCCACTGAGTCATTGGACCAATCTAAAAAGAAAAACATTAAACATGTCAGTTCACATGGATTGGACAGTGAGGAGGTGCAGGTAATTTTTGAGCTCCTAGAAGAAATCCTGTAGCTTCCTTTAACTGTTTTTGATGCATCAGAGGGAGAAGTACAAGAAGAGAGCCAAACAGTGGTGCCAACTCAGTCATGCATGTCTGAGCATGGTGGTTTGGTCTTGGCATTGTAGTTGATAAAACACACTAGTTATCATGTTTGCCCTACAGAATACTGTTTTTCTACTGTGTATCTTGAGGATTGGTGGATGGGAGTGTTGACGGGGCTTTACTCACCTTCCTCAGTGAGTACTTTTATTATTCTCTTTGTATTGTGGGCATTACTGAAGTTTGCTGAGTCAATCTTTGCATGCTTATGTCCTTTATAGACAAGAGAGATGCTTACCATCCTCCACCTATTTTGATACTGTCCGTGAATCAACAGGTAGTACATTATTGACACTGACTCTGCAACCACTGACTTTAACTGCAAAACTCTATTGACTACTTTTTCTATTTCTTTCACTTCAGTGCCCTCTGTAATTCCAGGTACTGGTACTCACAGTGATTTGACTGCCTCTTACACAAGTGGCTCTTGAGACATTACTTAGACCCACACGTTTGGTATCTCCACCCTAGAAGTTCATGAGGAAAGGACAGAGAAGTTAGTACACCAACCACTATTACAGCACAAAGGATCAGACATCAACTCTGAGTCCTGTTGCTCTGTCTGGATGGAAGCACAATGGTTATTGTTACCAGATACATTGGTCAAAGCAAATGATTCTCCTTTGTCGTCAGAGGACTTCTCAGTGCACTCTTACATACTCATCAGATTTGCAAAGCAGATGTTTGTACAGAGAGGAGATTCCTGAAGATAACCTCATCTCAGTGTCCCGTCCCCTTGTCTTTGATGTCCTTACTGTTAAAATTTCTAAAGAGAATTTATGAGAAGTTGTCATTGGTGCTTATCTCCAGGTAATCACCTCGATAATTTATACAGGATGCAAGAAGAAGGCTGTGTCATGTACCAAATTTGGTTATAGTAGCTTTAGCAATAGGTAAGAAAATAACATCAATTGCCTTAAAGTGGGATGGGAGGCTTATTATAAGGCAGCCTTTGTGACAAAAATTGCAAATCAGCAGGGTCTCTTGGGGCAATATCAGATGTTCCTGTGGAACAAACTAACCACTGTCATGGATCATCTGCCAAACAATGTGAAGCAGGAGCAGTATTATTTATTGAGGAGGTTGCAAACTTATCTTGACAGCAAATGAATTCTGTTCAACAGACAGTTGCCTGTTCTGGAAAGATTTTGGCTGGAGCAGTTGTCTTGTACTGGACTGTGATGCACCAGTCTGTCATAAAGTCATAGAGGCAAGGTTGCCTATGTGCCATTTGACCACCAGGGTCTTCTTTCATCTAAAGCAGATGAGAAATTGGACACAGACCGTGGAAGACCTTTTATTCACCTCCCGCAACAAAGAGTGAACCTGGAACAAATTCTAGGTTTACCATCAGTATCCTGAACGTCCCATCTTTACCAGACCCCAGCAGTCTTCCTAAAATCACATTCTTTCCATATAGCAATTGAAATGATCTTCACCTCTCATTTCCAAATGGAGACTGCAGAGTGAAAGCAAAGGTTTTGGCTGTCATGTCCATTTTGTCACTTCAGCTATTCCTATATGATCCATCCATGATACCAGCCGTGTTCAGTACTGTCAAACACATCTTATATTGATAGCAAACCCATCATCTTCAGTGCCAGGCTAGCTTAATGTCTGAACTTGGATCAACATCATTACTAGTTGATAACCCAGTTGTATCAAAGTGGAGCTGTCAAATAGAATTCAGTAACCTTATGCCACTGAAAGCATTCTGTTCAGCACAACTGTGTGGGGACAATGGCCAATTGTCTTCCTCTACTCAGGGAAGATGACTGATTTGCAATAATAGATTTGCAGGATACTTACTTTCTTGTGACCATTATTCCTTCATATTGAAACTACTTTTAGTTTGCATCAGGAAAGTCATTCTGTCAGAACCATCCTCTTCCGGTTGCTATTTTCACAGTAATGAGGTGGCAGCTTATGTAAGAAGACACGGTATTGTCATCTTTCTCTATTAATGATTGGCTGGTCATTCTCCAAAGGGAGTCAAATCTACAATACCATTTGGATATTATCTTGGCTCTTTTTAAGAACATTGAGATGTGCATCAATAGGGAGGGATTTAATTTCAATACAAGACATCATGTTTTTTGGAACCAGATTGCTATCTGTACAGGCCATAGCTGGGGTTCATAAATTTATTTATTTTATTTATTTATTTAACTTATATGCCGCCCACTCTACCCAAAGGTCTCTTAGAGTAAATCAGAGGCTCACTGCATCATGGCTATATCTCAGTACATCATTGTCCATCCTGTGGGCCCAGCCTGTAAATTTCAAAATTGCTTGGCCTTATGGTCTCCACTGTTTCTGTTCTCTGTTTTGCCAGACTGTTTTTGAGACCTTTGCAGTCTTGCCTTATAGAGCACTACCATCCTACCTTCGAAAAGAATGAAGCAATACCATTGAAAGTTTTGCTCATTTTTTGATAGTGAGCCAAGTCAACAAACTTGTTCTAAGAATGATATTTGGGCCACCACATCTGTGTCTTGTATTAACAGTAGATGCTTCCAAAAAGGTTTGAAAAAATCATTGCCTTCAATCTCATACCTAAGGCCAAGGGGTGGGAATGGAGGCTCGTTGTTACATCAGTTTTTAAAAACTCCTTGCTACTTTTGAAGAGTGCAAGGCTTTTTGACTACTGCTCACTGACACCATTGTTTAGACCACCACTGCCGACTCCACTGCAGTATAGTGCACAGACAAAGATGCCAGTCCAAGAAACTCATGGACCTCATGCTATGCCTCTGGAATTGGCACCTTTGCAACAGCATCTTTCTCATCATGATGCACATTCCAAGGGAAACAAATCACCTTCTGGACCTATTGAGAAGGTCATGAGAGAGAACTCCATCTGCTCCTCCTCAAGAGACTGTTTTGAATGTGGCATCAATTCTGTATCAGCACATTCAATTGTAGGACCAACAGGAAGTTCCTGTCATATTATAGCAAAGCAGAAATTCCCCAAAGGATGCCCTGTTATAATTATAGAGTGGGAAGAGGCTTTACCTATTTCTACCAGAATAATAATAAAGCTCTTTTGAGAATGGCCACATGGCATACTGATAACTCCATGTTGTTGTTGTGTAGTCGTTTAGTTGTGTCCGACTCTTTGTGACCCCATGGACCAGAGCACACCAGGCCCTCCTGTCTTCGATAACTCCATGGTAGATGGTAAATCAGTTGTTAGGTTTTCTGGAAGGTTCCACCTTAACTGGATGTTGTCTCAAGAGAGTCAGGGTCAGTTCTTCATCCTGATGCGGACACTTTTAAACTTTATGGCATGGAGCATCTAGCCTTGGACAGGACAATGGACACAATAGACAATGTGAGGACACCATTGACTTGAAGATAATATGCCTGTAAAGAGACTTTTTGCAGATTTGCCAAAAAAAAATCTCTTTGAGCATGACCCATGTTTGATTTATCATGTTCTACAGTTTTTGCTTATGTTAATAGATGATGGTTTAACCACTTCTTTCCATAAAAGTTTACTTAGTAGCATTAATTGGCTGTTGACAAATTATATACTTTGTTCATGATTCCATCTATCTAAAAGCTTTACTTGGGGAACAGCATAGAAAATATGTTGAACATGAGAAGAATGTTGGCCTTTTATGTCTAGAAGATGGTCTCTTTCACTTTTCTTAGCATATTCTGGACTTAAGAAAGAACAGGCCATTTTTACTTAAAGGTTTGTCAAATTGAAGCTGTTCCATCAGGCAGTAGCCACCTCCACTGATATTTTAACAGGGATTTCTTTACCTGAATTATATAGTGCTGCAACATGGTCTCATATTTCCCATTTTATCTAGCATTACCACCTAGGTATCGATTTTCAGAGGATCCTTCTTTCAGAAGGGCTGTTCTCATTGCAGTGTTCCAGTAAGTGCAAGTGCTAATCTGTCTACCTCTGCACACATTTCAGGTGTGAACTGTCTAGTCTTCATCCTTTGGTATGAAGGCATAGAGATGACAAAAAAAGAAGCAAAACCCAGATAGCTTCTTGTAAACTTTATTTTTTGAATGGTTATCTGTATATTCATGTGATATGTTCCTGTTTTTGACACTGATTAAATGATCTCTGCTATTGCATTGTCTGGATTTATAAACTGAAGAGAAGGCATGCTGGAACATGCATGGTAATGATTGGGGGCATGGCAATGGTCAAAGCTCTGTCTAGAAAGTTCTGAAAGAAGAAGATTTGCACAAGTGCAGACCCATTGATGTGAATATTTGAAAGGCTGTCATAAAGAGGAGGGGCAAGATCTGTTCTCGATCATCCCATAGTGCAGGACATGCAACAATGGGCTCAAGTTAAAAGAAGCCAGATTTCAGCTGAATATAAGGAAAAACCTCCTGACTCTTAGACCTGTATGACAGTGGAACCAGTTACCTCTGGAGTTGGTGAGTGTTCCAACACTGGAGACATTCAAGGAAAACTTAGATAATCACCTGGCAGATACGCTTTGATTGTATTCCTGCATTGAGCAAGGGGTTGGACTTGATGGCCTTGTAGGCCCCTTCACTTTTCTATGATTCTATGAATGCATAAATGTCTACTTGAAGAACAAACATTACACAAAGCAGTCTGTTTTTTCATAGCCTACCCTATTCAATGGGACCCCTGACCTTTGGATAATTTTTAGGAGGCTGTGAGAGCTGCTAAGGGGAAGAGAGAGAGAGATATGCAATCTTGATCCAACCCAACCAATCTTTGAATAGATTTCCAAAATAAATATCTCATTTATATCAGTAATGATTGTTAGTACCTGCTATTAACACGAAAGGGAAAAAAGCCTGGAATCCTGTTGGCATAACCGCATCATCAGCTCATGATGTTACTCTTTAATGTAATTTAAATTTTCCTATCCCTGAAAATCATGGCTGGATTGCAGTTGCTGGGATTGAGACTGCCACTAGCGATCTGACAGTGATTTTCTGATACTAAAGGTTGCCCATCCCCTGTTTCGAGCCTCGCAAAGCTTTTCTCAGGTCAAAAGGGATTCTTGGGGAGCCTTGTAATTTTGTAGTGGGGAGGGAGATAGGAAACTAAATTGCATTATGTGACATTACATTAGAGTAATGTCACTGTCTAATGGCATCTTTGCCATTTATGCCTGTGTAGGTACTCTAAAATATCCCAACTAATATGTGCTGAAATGTCAGTAGTTAATACTATTACTGTTGCTCCAGGTATATATAAAGTTTGTATGGAAGTATAGTATTCTTAGTGGAGATTTCTTGTGTTTCTTCTGGTGCTGAAGTCTGGTTCTGCAACCAAAGAGGGATTTCCTCTTCCATAGTGACAGTTAGAAAGAGGGTGGTGTGCGTGTGTTTGTTTGTTTTTGACTTAGCATTATAAAGGAAGAAATAGTTAACACTTTGTTCGCTCTACTCTCCACTAACCTGTAAGACACTTTAAAGTAAGCAGAACTTTTTTTAAGCTATTAACCCCTTAACAATTGAAGTCACTGGCCTCCAGTGCACCTTAAATGAGGCGAAAGCAAACATTACTACTGCTTAATTGAGAGACCTTCCATAGTGAATAGAAAAAAGCTGTGCACTACTGTAGTTGTAAAAAATGGTTTTGTCACATATGTGAGAGAACTTTTCCTTAATATGAGGTTATGTATCTATCATGTCTGTATGCTTTACCATCTGAAAAGACCGTTGTTTATAATTCTTTTCTTTAAAGAAAGGAAATAATATCAGATGCCTTTCATTGTATTTCTTTGCTGTGACAAAACATAATAAAGTATTCTGTCTACTGCTCCATGGTACAGCAAATCCAGTGAAGGTCCTGTGTTTTTTCCCCAGGTAGTAATGGCAGTTGCACAGCTTTATTGGCATGTGGCACCCAAGTCTGAAGTCAGCATTGTTGCCAAGTCATTAGTACGTTTACTTCGCAGTAACAGGTAAATCAACTAACAAGTACATCTTTTCTTCCAATAGTGGTGGATATGTACCTGTGGAAGTAAGTCATCCAACTGTTTGTTACAAAGAGATAAAATTTAATTTACTATTTTTTTTTGGAGTAAAAGTGATTTATGTTTTCCTTCTTCATACATGGATATGATAATCCATATTTGGATTTAACCTATTCATAAATTCATACAATTGTTCATAAATGGATGTTCACTAAAGTTAGTAATTTTGTTTCTATTTTTATGAAGTTTAATGAAAATCATTATGTACATACTGTTATTCTCATTAAGTAAACATTTTGCTGATGTCCAGGTCCAGCCACACAGTGCCGTGCTCCTAAGCAAGTTGAATGTGGAGCAAAGTCTGTGCAGGGCACCTGTAGCAATAGGCAGAGATCTAACAGAGTCCTATTGGTGAGTCAGGTTATCAAAACAAAGGGAGATCTGAAACCAAAGTCCATGAGCAGTTCAAAAATGAGTTTGGAACAGGTAGGGAGCCATTAGCAAAGATCAGCATACATGGCAGACAGAGTGGAGCAAGTATCGGAGTTCTCTCCAGTAAAGTCCCAGTCCCAGTTTAAGGTTGAGATTGGACCCACCCAGAGCTAAGCTGTAGGCAGCTTGCCAGCTGAAGAAACCTACATGCAGGATTTGGCTTGTTGATCTCTCTGAAAGAAAAGTTTTTACTTGGGGAAACCTGCCAGTCTTGAGGAGGCCTTTTCTTCTGAAAATATTTACCCTGAACTTGAGTACTTCACCTGTGCGTTTCTCAGTGGGTGATACTGTGACATCCTTGTAGGCTTGAAAGCAGCCTGGCATTTTCATTAGGCTCAGCTACATTCAAGCCCACAAGGACCACAGCTACCTTCTTCTGGGAGTGCTGCCTCCAGGGTGTGCAGCATCCAGCAGTTCCTTCCACTTACCAAGTTCAGAGGGTTTGGCTCATCCTTAATGAAAGAGTCTTCTGGATGTGAGACTATGATCCAGAGCATTCTCTGCAACCAGGAGATAAACCACTCCTGCCAACTAAAACTCTCAGAATTCCAACCAGGGGGATTCTTGGAAAATTTGGGAGGCTAGAGTCCAAAAATATAAAAGAGCGCGCCACTGTTAACATTCTGGTATATACTTTATTAAAATTTACTGCTAATAGACTGAATCTGACTGATTTCAATAGGTAGGATTGACATTGGATTTAACTTATTATCTGTAGCAAAAATATTGTTTACATAATTGACATTGTTCATAAAATGAATTGTATGCGTGAGTCATGTTTATGAATTCCAGCCCTGTAAACATGGAACAAAATTTCTTCTAAGAGCAATACAGTGGGGGCTTGAGTTGAGAACTTAATCTGTATTGGAAGGTGGTTCTCAAGTGAAAAAGTTCTCAAGTCAAATCTGCATTTCCCATAGGAATGCATTGAAAACCATTTAATCCGTATCTGCTCTTTTCCGTCCATAGAAACTAATGGGAAGCTGCTATTCTGCCTTCGACTACTAGAGGGGGATATTTTGTTTCTTTTTTTCTTAGGTCAAGAAAGGTTCAGGGAAGGAACGGAAAATACAGTCCAGGCAGTACAGTACGAGGCAGTCTGAAGACTGTCTCCCAATCCACTCTCTAAACACTGGGAGGAGTGAGGAAGCAGACAGGCACCCTTTTCACTGGCCAACAGTTAACTGAAAGTTCACTTTTTGCACTTTCCCTGCCCCCCACGTGGGTTTTTTTCAGTTCTTAACTCAAATCTAAGTATTTAAGTCAAGTCAATATTTTCCTATGAGAGTGGTTCTTAAGTCAAAATGTTCTTAACTCAAGCCGTTCTTAAGTCAAGACCCCACTGTATAGGAATTTTCATAAGTGTAATCAAATATTTGATTATATTTTCCTTGTGGAAAGACACTTGAGAAAGATAAATTTTAATTATGTTACATTGACTTTTAGGGAGGTACAATACATTGTTCTCCAGAACATCGCAACAATGTCAATCCAGCGCAAGGTTTGTCATATTGAATATCTAAAATCATAATTATTATTTTAACTTTAATTCAACTGCTGGTATTGATTTGCTGCTGTACATTTCCTTCCTTAGGGCATGTTTGACCCTCATTTGAAGAGTTTCTATGTTAGGTCAACTGATCCAACTATGATCAAGACACTAAAGGTAGCTGTACTATGTAAAATTGAGTTATTGTTCTATTACAGTAGAATGTACAGTTGTGCTCCTTCAACATTGACCTGGGCATACTATTTTGCTTATGTATACAAAAAAGCAGGACTGCCAAGATTCCAACAACAACATTGCTGTACTTTCTGTTCTGAATAAGTTAAATTTGGTACTAAATCTTGTGCACGTTTATTCAAAGGTAAATCATCCATTCACTAGGATGTGCTCCCTAGCAAATATAGTTAGGACTGGCTGAATGTCTTAAATGAAACAAAACTACCGTATTTACCGGCATATAAGACGACGTTTTGGCCCTGAAAAACATGCCTCCAAGTGGGGGGGGGTCATCTTGTACGCCGGGTGCATGTCCAGCAAACCCTCCCTCCCTCCCAGCGAAGTCACTTACCTGGTAGTAAAACCCAATAGAGCCCCGCTCCTAGCCTGGGAACAGCCTGACTCTAGCACCGAGCAGCAGACTGTCGGAAAAGCAGAGAGGTGGCAGCCATTTTGAGATGTGACCACATGGCTGCTGCCTCTCCAAAATGGCTGCTGCTTCCGAAAAGGAACCAAAAGGGGCAAAAGGAACTCTCCCCATAATGCAGCCAAAGCAGAATCACGCATGCGGAAGAGGGGTAGTCTTATACAGGAAGTATATAACAAACTCTACATTCTGAGTGGGAATGTTGGGGGGCCGTCTTATACTCCCAGTTGCCTTATACACCAGCAAATACGGTAGCTGAGAATACAGGACCTCAGTTCAAATTATAGTAGGCAGTTAATAAAAATAGCAACTTTAATTTACTCCTCCTAATGTCAAAGAGGACAAAAACTGGAACTATTATACTTAAAGAATAGACAGATAGGAAGGATAGGGCAGTAAGATAAAGGAGAAAATAATTTTTTGGTATATGTAGTATTTGGAAATAAGGATTATAGTTTTAGATAATTTAGTTTTAGATAATATGAGCTTCTATGTGTTAGTCTTCTGCCATAATAAATTTGAATGTGTGATTATAGATGGAGCAGAGAGCGAGGTATTCTCACTAATTCTGCTTTGACTTATTTTATTTTATTTATATTGTTTATATGTTGACTTTTTCCCCATGGGAGACTCAAGGCAGGTCACAACAATTAAAAGCAGCACAAAAATCACAGCTCTAAATGGCATATTAAATGGCACATTTAAAAAAATTGAAAATATAGCAACATTAAATCATCATCATCATCATCATCATCATCATCATCATCATCATCATCATGTGCTATCAAGTCAGTTCTGACTTGTGATGGCCCTTTTCAAGTTTTTCCAGGTAGAGAATGCTCTAAAGTGGAGCATCCCTTCTACTAGGATGCCCTGGGACTGTGCAACTTGCCCAAGGGCACACAAGGTGGCTTTTCTGGAATGTACAGTAGGAAAACAAGCTCCCAACCTCTGGCTCTGCAACTAGATACCTAAATCACTGAGCTATCTTTTAAAATATTTTAAAAACATTTAAAAATCTCTAAGGACTTGCTTATATATATGTTTGCCTTGCAATAAGGTCAGTTCTAAATGAAATTGATTTAGGGACCACATGGTGTCACATGGTATTTGGGTCAGTGTGTGTCCACCCCCTGGGAAAAGCGTTTAATTCATTTTTAAACTGTGTTATATCTCAGTTAAGGGGGCTACACTTACGCCCTGCCCTCATGCTGGCCACTTGCTTCTCCTTTTGTGATGAGGAAAAGGGAGAGGGTCTGCTGGGAAAGCTGTTTGTCCTTTTAGAAAACTTGGCTGCTTCTGTCCCTTTAAGAATGTTGAAACAGCTGTCAGCTGCTCAGTTTCTCAAGCAAGTTGTACTGGTTTCTCCTGGATTCTCTCTGCTCATTTTAACTTTGCACACACAGTCTGCTTGACTGGCTGCATGGTACTCTTCTCTCCTCCTCCCAGGAAATAACTGGAACATTCTTAAAGGGACAGAAGCAGCCATGCTTCCTAAAGGAACAAGCAGCTTTGAGAGCAGACCCTCCCTCTCCTGTGCCCATCCATTCCTCCTTCCTTCCTGCAGCCTTTCCTACCACCTCCACTGGTTATCCAAAGGTGCCATTTGCAGCAACAGAGGGGTGCACATATGCAGAAACGATAGAAATAAATTGAGTTTCAAATGTGTCCTAAATTAAATGATCCTCTGGCAGAACAGTATTTTAGCTACCTTTCCAGACAGTAAACACGCTTCACTGGCAAAATAATCTGCTGTTCTGTTTGTCAGGTAGACACCTTATCTTAAACATTTTTTAAAAAAGCAGAAAGTTGTACAACAGTGGTTTTTTTTCCAGTGGGATCAAGCAGTTTAAAAAATATAGCATTCCTGTGGCATTTATTGTTTAAGAGTCTGTCTGTTCATAAAAGAAAATTTCTACATGTTTTATGAATGTAAACATGTATTAGTTGACAAATTTGGTGTGGCTTTGCTGACATATCACACTTTTGCTGTTACCTGGAGAGGAACAGATTTTCTGCTGAAATACAGCCAGAATCAGAAGAAAATCTATTCCTATCTCCATTTCTAAACCTGGAGTTTCAGGTGGAGAGGAGAAAAATAGTTGCTGCTGCCCAGCTGTTTGTATTTGGAGTAGTGGAGGGGACAGAAAGGTTAGTAGCATTTGCCAGCTGTATTGGCTTTATCTGATAGATGGAGGAAGCCTTGGGTTCAGTGCAGTTCTAAGTGTTGTTGTTAACTATTATTTCAGGTTTTTATGTTGCTTTTTTCTGTATTGTTTCTAGTTCTAAACACCATTTTTGAGATGCAGTGACTAGACCAGTTGTTCTCAAACTTGGGTCCCCAGATTTTCTTGGATTGCAACTTTCAGAAATCCTAGCCAGCACACCAAGTGTCGAAGGCTTCTGGGAATTGCAGTCCAAGAACACCTGAGGACTCCAGCTTGAGAACCACTGGACTAGATAACTATGCAGAAGAAACCTTTTGCTGTATAGGCATGTTGCTTCCCCCCCTTCCATTCTCCAATAGGCTCAGGTTTAGATAGAGGGATTTTGTACATGACTATGAGGATTGCTTTTATGGTATACAGAGCACACTGGGATTTCTTACAATCAATAAATAGAGAGGATGGGCAATGTTTTGCTGTGAATCCTGATTCCACTAAGTTTGGCGACAGTTGTTGCCTTAAATCAGTGGTTCCCAACCTTATGTCCCCAAGTGTTTTTAGACTACAACTCCCAGAAGTCCTGGCTAGCACAGCTAGTGGTGAAGTTTTGTGGGAGTTTTAGTCCAGTAATATATGGGGACCCAAGGTTGGAAACAATTGCCTTAAAACATTAAAAGCTGATGGTGTTTTTTGATTCTACCTTTGATTTGCTCAGTATCGGGAGGAGTGATGAAGTAATGATTCTAAAACTTTAAAGAGTGTTTCTCTTGCTCTTTCACCCAGCTTGAAATCTTAACTAACTTAGCTAATGAAGCCAACATATCAACACTTCTCAGAGAATTTCAGGTTTGCTCATTATTTTTATTCTTATTGCATGTCACGGTTATGAAATGTCATTGGATGATCCCACTTAGGGAAACTAATACAATGGTGCCTTGCTTAACGACGATAATCCGTTCCAGGAAAATCACTATTAAGCAAAAACATTGTAAAACAAAATTAAAAACCCCATTGAAATGGATTGAAACCCGTCCAATGCGTTCCGATGGGGTAAAAACTCACTGTCTAGCGAAGATCCTCCATACGGCACCCATTTTCACTGCCTGTATAGCGAGGAATCTGTCTCTAAACACAGCAGGGAGCCATTTTAAGCCCCCGGTGGCCATTTTGAAAACCCGACAATCAGCTGTTTTTGATCGTCGTAAAGTGAAAATCGGTTCCCGAAACAGGGAACCGATCATTGCTAAGGGAAATTCCCCCATTTAGACCATTGTTTTGCAATCGCAATTGCGATTGCAAAAAGATCATCGTAAAGCAGATTTGTCGTAATACGGGCAATCGTTAAGCGAGGCACCACTGTATTCTTTTAAAGGGTTTGAAACCTGAACCTATAGATAGAAAGTATGGCTCTGCTGTAAACCAGTCTGATGCTAATCAAAGTTGTATATAAACAAAACTGATTGACATATTACTTCCTGTAATTAGTATACTAGAAGATTTACATTTCTTTGTTAACACACTAATGTTGACTTACAGTAGTTTTAGGATGTAGTGATATATGTCATGCATGTCTCCAGTGTTCCAAATGCAGTACAGCGGTTTTCCTCAAATATAATAATTAATTTAGTATCTCTAGCTCAATAATTGGTGTTCTGGAAAAGCAGACACCCAGTTTTTATTTAGCAGACTTTTCTTAAGTACAATTTTGCTGGCTAAATGGCTTTGGATCTTTCTGAAAATACTTTCTAGACTCTATTGATCTTGCCTTCAGACCAATTATTTTGAATTATCACTCTCTTCTAGTATTTATGGAAGTAAATTCCCATATGGATTTAACTAACTTATTGCATACTATACTACAGTATTTCTAGATCCCTTATTCACACACCCGCCAATTCAAAAGACTGAGAATAATTTTGGAAGGGCATTCTGACTCTTTTCAACTGATGAAACCAATGTTTTGATTATTGGAATTGCTGTTTTCTTCAGACCTATGTGAAAAGCCAAGATAAACAGTTTGCGGCAGCTACAATTCAGGCAATAGGCAGATGTGCAACCAACATTTCAGAAGTGACTGACACATGCCTTAATGGCCTAGTGTGTTTACTGTCCAACAAGGATGGTAAGTTAATTGTTTCATTGTCTGTCTTGAGTGAATGATAGGTTGTATTTTCTGGTAGCATTCCCAGGTAGTAACGGATCAAAGTAATATTGTCTTAGAAGATGTGTCTTCTGGGTAAATGGTGGCTTTTAAAAATAATTCCTGTTTATAGTTCTTTAAAGTTAACTATATTTTTCTGTAATTAGTATGGATTACTTCAATGTACATTTAATACCAATACCTAAAATTTCTTGAAATGCAGTTGGTAGAATGCTGTGCTGTAAAATACTGTACCTTCATATACAACATAGATTTTCCCCTGTTGCATTTAAGTTGCTGTACTGCAGAGGGTGCTACAAGCAGTGAAATGTGGGGGCTTTATGTGTGCAACTAACTAAATAAGAAAGCATATTCAGCAGTTTAGATCTTCATCAATAAACCTGTCCAAGTTTCATAGCAATTTTTCTCTGTTTTGGTATTAAAATAAAAAAACTATAGATGGTCATAAAATATAATAAGTAGTTACAGGACAAATATTGTAAAACCCATTATTATATAACTCTTTCTAAAATCATTTGTATAGATTATGTAGCTAAAAATTGCATAAGGAGAAAATGTGATGATCAAATTTGTTTATAGGTTTATCAGGTGCCCCCAAAGTCCTGATCCTTGGTTTTATATTAAACAAATACTTTATGTGTTAAAACTTTCCTGGTATATTGATGTTGATTTCCCAGGTGCTTGGCTTTACTTGAAAATTAATTCAAATACTGTGAATGCATTCATATGATTACTAATGCTAGTGTAGCATTCATATCTTTTGTCGTTGTTTAATCGTTTAGTCGTGTCCGACTCTTCATGACCCCATGGACCAGAACGCGCCAGGCCCTCCTATCTTCCACTGCCTCCCGTAGTTGTGTCAAATTCATGTTGGTTGCTTCGCAGACACTGTCCAGCCATCTCATCCTCTGTCGTCCCCTTCTCCTCTTGCCGTCACACTTTCCTAAAATCAAGGTCTTTTCCAAGGAGTCTTCTCTTCTCATGAGATGGCCAAAGTACTGGAGCCTCAGCTTCAGGATCTGTCCTTCCAGTGAGCACTCAGGGTTGATTTCCTTTAGAATGGATAGGTTTGTTCTCCTTGCAGTCCAGGGGACTCTCAAGAGCCTCCTCCAGCACCACAATTCAAAGGCATCAATTCTTTGGCGGTCTGTTTTCTTTATGGTCCAGCTCTCACTTCCATACATCACGACAGGAAAAACCATAGCTTTGACTATTCGGACTTTTGTTGACAAGGTGATGTCTCTGCTTTTTAAGGTGCTGTCAAGGTTTGTCATCGCTTTCCTCCCAAAAAGCAGGCGTCTTTTAATTTCGTGGCTGCTGTCTCCATCTGCAGTGATCATGGAACTCAAGAAAATAAAATCTGTCACTGCCTCCATATCTTCCCCTTCTATTTGCCAGGAGGTGATGGGACCAGTGGCCATGATGTTAGTTTTTTTTTTTAATGTTGCGTTTCAGGCCATTTTTTGCACTCTCCTCTTTCACCCTCATTACAAGGTTCTTTAATTCCTCCTCACTTTCTGCCATCAGAGTGGCATCATCTGTATATCGGAGGTTGTTGATATTTCTTCTGGCAATCTTAATTCCGGCTTGGGATTCCTCCATATCTTTTGTAGTTCTTGTAGAACTGCACATTCCAGTGGGTCCTTATCACTAAATCAAGGTTGGAAATTTGGGCTGACTTATTAGACAGAGTTTCACTGTCTGCAGGCTGCCACAGGTTACACCAAAGTAACAAGGAATGAATGTGTCCAAATAGCCACTTGCAGTTTTAATTTTGGGGGCAGGGGTGGATAATTTCTACCACTACTCAACAACAAAATCTTCCTCTCCTGGGCCACGCAGGAGTGGGGAAATGCTGCCTTCCATTTCTTCTACTATTTTCATAGGGAGGCTTCAGATGCCACATGCACCTTGGGCCACACTTTATAACCCTGGCCTATGCCCAGCTGTTCTGCTCTACTTTGTCAGTTTCAGGAAGGGAAGCTTTTCAGAGGAAGAACAATGCTAGGAAGGAGAAGCTCTGAACTCTACTGCCACCTACCATAACTTCCCTGCAAATGTAGTATAGATTGTGGGACAAGCAGATAGTGGAAAGGGAATTGCAGAGAAAATGCAAGGAAGAGCTAAGATTAAGTATTCTACCTGCTGCTGGTTTCCAGAAGGTCAGTGCCTTCTTATGTTCCACTGCGAAGGAGAAACGGTGGCCAGTTTCCAACACAAGGTGGAGCTTTCTTTTACCTTCTGTCCTAGCATTGTAAAAAATGAGGTGTTTCTTTTTATGACCAATACGAAGATAATTTATTATTCTATACAGCGTGGGTTTAAGCTGCCAATTAAACCTTTGTCTTTGGAAACATTGGACACCCCTGTAAAAAGCAAAACCCTGTCTTTTGGAATGGTTACGCAAAGATAGAAAAAGGATGATTTATTTCAAACATGGTGGTGTGACATCCGAGTATGATGAAGTATGTTTTCAAGGAAGGTAGAATATTTTAACTGGCTGGATAGCTCAGTGTATTAGAGGCAGAGGTTGGGAGTTCAGTTCCCCACTGTTCATTTCAGAAAAGCCAGCCTTTGTGGCCCTGGGCAAGCTGCACAGTCCTACAGTGCCCCCAAATGAAGAAAATGGTAAACCATTTCTAAGTAGTCTGTACCTAGAAAACCCTGTAAAGGGTTGCATAAGCCAGAACTGACTTGACAACTCACAATTAAATTAGAACAGTCTTTATAGTGGCCAATTAGTCTAGTGCAGTGGTGGCGAACCTTTTTGGGCTTGCGTGCCCAAACTGGAAAACAAAACAAAATGGTGTGGTGTGCCGTGGTGGTGGAACCCGAAGTGCCGGCGGAAGGGGGAATCCCGGGCACAGAGGTGCCTCAAGACCCCACTCCGGATCTGCCACCAGCAGCAGCTGCTCTGGATCCTGACCTGCCACCTGTCTGGGCACCAGCACTATGGTTGCAGCCGCCTGCTCAGGTTTGGCTGCGGGGAGGAGGGGGGAGTAGCGATCCGGCAACATGGCTCACGTGCTGGCAGAAAGGGCTCTGTGTGCCAGCTGTGGCATGTGTGCCATAGGTTTGCTATCACTGGTCTAGTGCTTTATGGGTCATCTGGATGGATTAGTGATGACTGCACAACATACCTGAAAAGGTACAATACCTGGAAATACTTTTTATTGTGTTTTCATATATCTTTATTTGCAGGGGAGATGGCCTTGTTGTAAGACATTATCTTTTCCCAAATAGCTTTTTTTCCCCTTGCATAGCTGGTGGATGTGAAACTGAGACTTGTTTGTAGCTGCACTAAATGAGGCTGTGATTACATTTCTGCCTTGTTTTTGCACTGGCTTCTGGATGCAGGGTTAAGTGAGAATAACACAGATTTGATGGAAAAAGGCAATTACTAAGGGAAATATACATGTGTTTTTAAAATTAGCTTAATGTATCCTCACAGTTCTTCAATCTCATGGCACAACTCTAAAAGAAATGAAAATTTCAAGGGGTGATTATAGAATCATAGAACAATGGAGTTGGAAGGGGCCAGCCTCCTGATCAGTGGAAGAATCCAAATCAAAGTACAGTGGTGCCTCACTTAACGAGCACCCCGTTTAACAACAAAATCGCATAGCGATTAGGTTTTTGCGATTGCAGAAGTAACCACATAACAATGTTTTGAATGGGAAAAAATCGCTTTGCGATGATCGGTAAGCTGTTTTGCTTACCGATTTTCGAATAGCGATTTTTTCCAACAGCTGATCGGCGGTTCCAAAATGGGTGCTGGAAAAAAATGGCCGCCCACTCTTTTTTGGGATGGATTCCTCGCTTACCGGGCAGCGAAAATGGCTGCCGTACGGAGGATTTTCACTTAAAGGTAAGTTTTTACCCCATTGGAACGCATTGAAGGGGTTTCAATGCGTTTCAATGGGTTTTTTAAATCGCATGGCAATGTTTTCGGTTAGTGGTGATTTTTGCCGCACCAATTAACATCGCTATGCGAGGCGCCACTGTAGATCTGACATATGGTTGTCCAGTTTTCTCTTGAATGCCCCCAGCATTGGAGTGCTCACCAACTCATGGAATAATTGGCACTGCTGTTGTAGTGCTTTAACAGTGAAGATGTTTTTCTTCATATTCAGCCTAAATCTAGCTTCTTGTAATTTGAGCCTGTTATTACACGTCCTGAACTCTGGGATGATTGAGAACATATCCTGCCCCTTCTTTATATGACAACCTTTCAAGTATTTGAAAAGTGCTATCATGTCTCTCCTCAGTCTTTTTTTCTCAAGGATAAACATGCCCAGTTCTTTCCTCATAGGGAAATGCTTAAACATGTAAATTTTCAAACAAGAGAGCAGACTAGGTGAGCGTCATGCACCTTCTCTTCAGTGGTAGAAATAAAGATCTGAATTGATATTTAGAATTGGTAGTTTTTTGAAGTGTACAAATATAAAATATCTCCACAATTAATTTGATGAATTAAATGCAGAAATAGTGAGCGGAATTAAACATTGCATGAACCCAACAGCTCTGTGCAGTGAGAGCTTCCTTCCAATTGCTAGAAATCTATCTAGTAAAACACATTAAGCTTTAGTAAGCTATCCTCTTCAGCCAGATTCGTTCGTTCCTTCCTTCCTTTCATAAGCTTGTATACCACCTGTTTAGTGTTGGCCACTGGGTGGTTTACATCCAAAGTAAAGTAGATATCAAATACTGTAATATAACAAACCTGGCGTGGAATGACACAGGCAGCCAGGCTAGCTAGGACTGGGGAAATGTGATTAAATTTATTCACATTTGACACCAGCCTGGCAGCTGCATTTTAGCTTTCAATATTGTTTTTAATTATGTAAACTGGCTTGGGGCCTTTTTTAGAAGAAAGGCGGGGGAAAAATATTTTGAATAAATAAAATAAAAATTCCTTGTGCATGCTCATACACAACTTTTTTTAGCTTGTTCAAGCACTATTTTTTTTTATTAGAGTAATTAAGTGCTTTGCACAACATGGGTTAAATTCCTGAACAGTCAATTTATTTGGTTGATCCCCTTGATCATTAATATACTTTACTGATCTGTGTGCTTATTTTTAGAACTAGAGGAAAGAATAGTAAGCAATTTGATTCTGTATTATTGATACCAATTTTCAGAACACAGCTAACATAAATCAATACGATTTAGTTTTTCAAAGGTCTTGCAATTTCACAACTGATTACCAAACTATAATTACGGTTATTGCTTTGCATGTTTCAACGTTTGGTACTGTCAGACTTTCTAATTTAGCAGAGATTTAAAAAGAAATAAATTGTTTCTATGGGATAGAATTTTAAAAAATTTCAGGGCCAAGCCTCTTTCCTTTTCTGCGCCTCCTATATTTTTCTTAATGGGCCATATGAAATATTTGGAAACTGATTTCCATCTGAAACTAAAAATGATAGTCTATTAATTTTGCTAGGTGTGTTTGAAAATGATATCAAATTAGCACAAAGCATAACTTTTCTGACAGTGTAACTCTTTTAAAACTGTGAATTCTTTCTCTTTACCAGAAATAGTAGTTGCTGAAAGTGTTGTGGTCATTAAGAAACTGCTTCAGACACAACCAGCACATCATGGTGAAATAATTAAACGTATGGCTACGCTCTTGGACAATATTACTGTGAGTATTTACATAACTTTTCCTCTTACAAATTATATTTTGGTGGGGTCTAGATTTGAGAGGAAAATGATAGATACATTCTTTTGAAATAAAATATGTCCTGAAGACTTTTTTGGATTGGTTGTGGAGTAAAGTTTTGTCTCATCAAATAGTTTTAGACAAGCTGTGTTAGAAAACTTTTGAAATGGATATATATATTTTGGTGTAAATGTACACAGTTAATTCCATCTACTCTTAGCTGTTGTAGTTCTGCTCTTTGAATATGTCTTAACCACATTCTAGGAGGGTTGTGGATTTAGGTTTGCTGGGTGTAAAAATGCTTTTCGGCACTGATATATTGCATTTTTAAAAAGTGAGTCAGGTTGACATGGTGGGATGATTTAGGAGTTTACGTCTTTATCCTGAAACATACGGCTTTCTTTAGCAAATAAGTCATCAAATGTATCATGTTTGTGTCATTTTTTAACTTGACGTTCTTTGCTGTCATCATAGTTTTCCAGCTAAGAATCCTGTATAGTGCGTGTGGCAAAAACTAGATTTTATTTGCTACTTTTTTAGATGCCTGGTTTCCTTCTTGAAAATTTAAATAAAATTGAGTGTACTTTAGAGGTGTGCATCATGAAAGAAGATGAGCTATTGAAACTGGGCTGCTTTCAGAGACACTTACAGAGTGATCTATAAAGTATTTCTAGATGTCTCTTTTTAACTGCTCTGAGAATCTATAAGGCTTCATTGTTTTGCTTGTTCTTCCAGACAAGTTAATGGATTCCAGTAGCAGCAAAAACTGCTTCCTAATACAAAGGCTTGAAAAGTGCACTTAACCACTTGCTCAAGCTGTGTATAATATAAAATATCAAACAATGCAATTTATAGTCCTGCTTGGCCTTTGAGGGTAATGCAAAGCAGAGTTGTATAATGAATGTGTTATTTCCTCCGTTCTTGTAAATACAACATCTCAATTTTTTACAGTACCGGAGAAGGCAGTGAAGGCCTTAATGTACCTTTGTGTCTTCTTAGTAGTTTGTAAATTATTTAAATACAATGACATCAAGGATTCCAAGATTATACGCAAATGTTTTTATGTTCAACAGCTTGGGTATCATGATTTGAATCCAGACTTTGCTTCTGCCAGCAGGAGCATCCCTCTGGTTAGAGGGTCCTCCTATTGGCTGAAATTATGTTCAAGAAACACTGTGGAGCAGATTATCACATGGCCCAAGTGACTGGAAAATAAATAGAGGATTTAAAAAAAAATAACCCCCGCCCTTTTTAAAAAAATGCTTTTAATTTGGAAAAGTATTCCATTAAATTCTCCATTACATTAAGTGGTAAATTTGGAGAAATTTCTAGGAAATTTGAAATGAAATATTGAGAAATTATTAAGAAGGAAAAGTTATTAGGATAAAAGCTTGTTTGTAAAAAATAGGGAATAAAGAACAAGTAAAAGAAGTATTAGGAATGGAGACAATATCTTGATTAATGTTCAGTCTCATTTAGTTGGAACAGTGGACTAAAGATTAGATAAAAAATGGTAAATGTAGAGTTCTTGTGAAATTTGAAGAGATGGTATTACAGAAGGAAAATGTAGATGAAAATAAGAATGAAAGGGATAATAAGTAAAACTTAAATATATTAATAAAAGCAGAGGACTTAACAAGATCTTCTTGAAACATAGGGATATGTTTTGGGAGAAGAAGTACAGTAACTATTGAAATTTGGAATAATATATGGGACATGAGAATTGTAGAATTTATGTATACAAGGATATAGGAAAATTTCTACAAGTTAGTCTGGAGATGGTATTAACTTTGGTAAGACTGCAGATAGATGCAAATTACACTAAGCTGTGTTGGATGTCAGAAAACAGGTACTTATTTTCATATGTGATGGGAATGTGAAAATATAGTGAAATTTTGGCAATAGTTTTTTTAAGGAGACAAATGAAATATTAGAGTCAAATGTAGAAGTATATCCTAAAATTGTGCTTTTGTCAATAGTTGGTAAGGAACAATGGAACTGAGCAATGAAGGAACTGATTTTAAATTTATTGACAGTGGCAAGATTGTTAGTGACAAGGAATTGGAAAATAAAGCATGGTTTTCAGTGAAATGGATGGTATAAAACTAACATTTAAATAACAGTGCATAATACGTTTCTTGAGAAAATTAATTGTAAATGAAATTTTAAGTTACCCATATGTTCTTATTTAGAATTATCTGTCAGTTCTGGGCAGCTTGAACATCTGTACTTGAAAATTTAATGTACCACTCAATTACTATCCTTTAGCCCAATCTGGAATGATAATTTGGGAGTAAAGTCTTAATGCAGTGTAACCTTTGGAACGTTAGAAATAACCTCTTTCCCAGTACATCCAAATGTCATCAGTCTACCACATTTCATTTAACAAAAGTACTCAAGCATTTAAAACTTTTCTTGTATAATAGATGTTCAGTGCATCTTCTGGTTTTGTTAATGTAGGTTTCAAAAGTGTTTTAAAATGCTGTCACTGAAATGTTACTCTTGTTGCAATATGAATTAGGCTGATATTCACTTTTGCATAATTCTTTGTTATAGTCTGCTTGCATTTTAAAAATCTGGCATCTCTACAATAGAATGCTTTGTATCTGTAACTGCATGACTCCCTGAATGAAATATCATATGATTTCTGTCTGTTGTAATGGGGATCTGTTGGGAACCATGGCTTTAGTAGCCAATCACATTACATGGAATGTAACAGAGACTCTTTTCTAGAAAGAGAAAGTTTTGGTTATTACTCATAAAATAGGGATTCTTCAGATGTCCTGTCAGTAGTGATTACCTCAACTTTAGTGAAATTATGAAAAGAATCAATGATTTAAATCTGTGGATTTTTAAAGAAACAGTAGCAAATGGTTGTTGTTTAGTCATTACGTCGTCTCCCACTCTTCGTGACCCCATGGACCAGAGCACGCCAGGCCCTCCTTGTCTTCCACTGCCTCCCAGAGTTGAGTCAAATTCATGTTGGCAGCTTCGATGACACTGTCCATCCATCTCATCCTCTGTCATCCCCCTCTCCTCTTACCCTCACACTTTCCCAACATCAGGGTCTTTTCCAGGGAGTCTTCTCTTCTCATGAAATGGCCAAAGTACTGGAGCCTCCAGGATGTCTGGCTCAAGGTCAGCAACCACACTATCTGGATTATCTGGGACATCCAGATATTTCTGGTATAATTCCTCTGTGTATTCTTGCCACCTATTCTTGATGTATTCTGCTTCTGTGAGATTCCTATCATTTCTGTCCTTTATCATGTCAGTCTTTGCACAAAATGTTCCTTTAATATCTCCAATTTTCTTGAACAGATCTCTGCTTTTTCCCTTTCTATTCTTTTTCTCTATTTCTTTGCACTGTTCATTTAAGAAGGCCCTCTTGCTATTCTTCGGAAGTCTGCATTCAGTTTTCTGTAACTTTCCCTGTCTCCCTTGCCTTTTGTTTCCCTTCTCTTCTCTGATGTTTGTAAGGCCTTGTTGGACAGCCACTTTGCTTTCTTGCATTTCCTTTTCTTTGGGATGGTTTTTGTTGCTGCCTGCTGTACAATGTTATGAGCCTCCATTCATAGTTCTTCAGGCACTCTGTCCACCAAATCTAGTTCCTTAAATCTGTTCTTTACTTCTACTGTGTCTTCATAAAGGAATTTGGTTTATATTATACCTGACTAGTCCACTGGTTTTTCCTACTTTCTTCAGTTTAAGCTTGAGTTTTGCTATAAGAAGCTGATGATCAGAGCCACAATCAGCTCCAGGTCTTGTTTTTGCTGAATAGAGCTTCTCCATCTTTGGCTGCAGAGAACATAATCACTCTGATTTTGGTATTGCCCATCTGGTGATGTCCATGTGTAGAGTCGCCTCTTGTGTTGTTGGAAAAGAGCGTTTGTGATGACCAGCTTGTTCTCTTGACAAAACTCTATTAGCCTTTGTCCTGCTTCATTTTGAACTCCAAGGTCAAACATTCCTGTTGTACCTTTTTTCTTGACTCCCTCCTTTAGTATTCCAATTCCCTATAATGAAAAGAACACCTTTCTTTGGTGTCAGTTCTAGAAGGTGTTGTAATTCTTCATAGAATTGGTGAATTTCAGCGTCTTGAACATTGGTGGTTGGTGCATAAACCTGGATTACTGTGATGTTGAAAGGTCTGCCTTGGATTAATATTTTTGAGATTGTATCCCAGTACAGCTTTTCCCAGTCTTTTGTTGACTATGAAGGCTACTCCATTTGTTCTACGGGATTCTTGCCCACAATAGTAGATATGATAATCATCTGAGCTGAATTCGCCCATTCCTGTCCGATTTAGTTCACTGATGCCCAGGATGTCGATGTTTATTCTTGCCATCTCCTGTTTGACCACATCCAGCTTCCCAAGGTTCATAGATCTTACATTCCAGATTCCTATGCTTTCTTTTTCTTTGCAGCATCGGACTTTCCTTTCACTTCCAGGTGCGTCCGCAGCTGAGCGTCCTTTAAGCTTTGGCCCAACTGCTTCATTAGCTCTGGAGCTACTTGTACTTGTCTTCTGCTCTTCCTCAGTAGCATGTTGGACGCCTTCCGACCTGAGGGGCTCATCTTCCAGCGTCATATCTTTTAGCCTTTTGTTTCTGTTCATGGGGTTTTCTTGGCAAAGATACTGGAGTGGCTTGCCGGTTCCTGCTCCAGGTGGATCACGTTTAGTCAGAACTCTCCACTATGACCTGTCTGTCTTGGGTGTCCCTGCACAGCATAGCCCATAGCTTCTCTGAATTACTCAAGCCCCTTTCCCACAACAAGGCAGCAATCTGTGAAGGAGACAGTAGCAAATACTGTTGCTTATTAATTTTTATTAGGCCTTAGGAAATTTCTGCCAAACATGGTTGAAACGTGTTCTGTTTAATTTTACTTACTTTCAAAGTGTGATCTTTTCTGGGCTCAACTAGAGATGTCAGTTTCCTAGGGTATGTTTAAAAAGCTTTTTACTTCCCTATCTATTGGGGAACAGGCATCAAAATGTCATCCTACAGAAATTCTCTGATTCCAATCTTCCCTCCTACAATCTCTTCTCCGTACCTTATCTCTTGCCATTTCAAAGGAATGGCTTTTGAGAACATAGGACTGTGGTGTTGATGGGAGAAATTCTCATTGTGTGAGCATGATTTTGTTAAGTTTTCTCATGATCAAACAGAGAACATTTTGAATTTGGGCATGGGTACTTGAGTATAAATTTTTGTGATCCCATTCTTAATGGTGGGCATCCCTCCTCCATTAACTTATCCATAAACTCCAGACAAGAAAGTTCAGACACAAGTGGGTTTGTTGGAACTGGGAGGGGGAAAACAGTCAATGGATCTGTGACATAAGAGTCCTCAGACCTAGTTAAGTCACTGGCCTAGTGTCTGACTTCCCTTTACCATGAGGTTTATATTCTTCTCAATAATCTCTGTTGTCATCATCAAGGAAGCAGATTGTTTGTCAGTCCTTAACTCAGCCCTGGGACTCAGTTAGTACTAAGCTGTACCTAGGAGTGAGGGCTGGTATGTCTGCAGTGATGGCAAGTAGGTGAGTGGTCTCTCCCTGGAGGTCCTTGATTCTTCCAGCCCAATCACCTTCTGCTTGTTCCAGCACTGGTGTTCCCATTTGTTTTTTCTCTGCCAGTGTCCGATCTGGATGGCTATCCACTCCCCAAGATTAACATATTTTTCCATGTATAAGACTATACTTTTGTCTAAAATCTTTAGACTAAAAATTGAGGGTCATCTTATACACGGACGTAAACTGAGGAGAGAAAAAAACAAGTGGAAAGGAAAGCAGGGATCAAGATGATCCTGCAGGGCTTTGATCCCTGCTTTCCCCTCCACTTGCTAAGTCTTAGCAAAAGGAAAGCAGGGATCAAAGTGCTGCAGGATGGCTTTGATCCTTGCTTTCCCCTCTGCTTACTAAGTCCCATGGGGCTCATCCAGCTATTCAGTAACTTAACCCCTTGCATCTACCACTTAAAATGTAGGGTTCTTTTCAAAAAGGTTTCCTTATGTGGCATCTCTAAACTCTAAGACTATAGTGTGATCTCTGTTTAGGCTCTTAGAGTCTTGAGTCTCCATGCCAGCTCTAATAATGTATTTGGTAGATACTGATTTGTGTATGCAAACGTTCTGTTTCAAGTTTATCAGGTTTTTGCAAAGTATTAAAAAAGTAAAAAAAATGCATTGCACAGGTCTATAAGTCATTGTTTTAACTCATTTTTGCTGCAGGTTCCTGTGGCAAGGGCCAGCATTCTTTGGCTTATTGGAGAATACTGTGAACGAGTTCCAAAAATAGCCCCTGATGTTCTAAGAAAAATGGCCAAGAGCTTCACTGCTGAAGATGACCTTGTAAAGTTGCAGATTTTAAATCTTGGAGCAAAATTATATTTAACCAACTCAAAACAGGTAAGGCTGAAGAAGACTAAACCACCATTTTGCTTTGGCATTTTGACTGACTGAAAATAAAAAGACTGTGTTTGAAAGTTAGTCATGCCTAATTAACAGCCTTTGCTTCTCCCTTTTCTACTTTTCTTGACTCAGAGATTGATCAGAATACCCAAGGTAGTTAGAGCTCTGCTCAGTGAAGAACGTGCTCCTTCCATTGTTTGCAAATGTATTTCATGAGTAATGTCTACTGGTATTGTAATACTGAAATAAGTGATATATACTACATAATAAAACTGTCAAAAATAAAAAGGTCAAACCCTAAGACATGACTGAAAACCTAAAGAAATTAATCAAAGGGAAGTGCAGACATGTGTGCATTATGCATAAATGTACAAGCATGTTATTTTGACATTTCAGTGAATTTATGTTTATTATTTGCAAGGTTTTTTCCATACTGCTTTTCTGAAAACCCACAAATCAGTACAAAAATTCAGTGAATAGCTATATGAAAACAATAACACAATAAAGGCTCTAAGATTCTTTTTGAAGCCATACTGTATAAACCTTGACCAGCTTCCTGAATACAGAGTACAGTTGCAACTCTAAAGAGGTTTGTTTTAAAATTTGGGTGTGACACAGCAGAATGATTTATTCTGTATGCCAAATATATGGACCTCTATAAGCAGCAAGATTTTCAGTGCAGCCTATAAAAACAATGTAACAGTGGTACCTCGCTTAGTGATGTTAATTCGTTCCGAAAAAATCGCTGCTAAGCGATTTCATTGCTAAGCGAAACGCGGTTTCCCATTGAAATGCATTGAAAACTGGATAATTCGTTCCAATAGGAATGAATTGCCGTCCTTAAGCGAAAATGGCTGAGCGGAACGCGGTTCCCCAATTGAAATGCATTGAAACCTATTCAGTGCATTTCAGTGGGGGGAAAATACAACAACAAATTAAAAAAGAATCAGAACAAAGTCAAATTTGGTTAACAAATGGTTTATTAAGTGCATTTTATGATTTCAAACATTTTAAACAGTAAACTTTAACTTTATAAATAACAGAAAAATATTTAAAAAACAGCAAACATGAGGCTGTTTAAACCATCGTTAAGCGAAACAGGGGAGCCAAAATTTAATCGCTATGCAAAGCATGGTCCCAACCATCGCTAAGCGAAAATTGCCCATAGGGACCATCGCTAAACGAAGCGCAAAAACACTCTGAAAAAGTCGCCGCTAAGCGATTTCATCGCTAAATGGAGAGCTCCCATTAAGCAAGGCACCACTGTATCAGATTTTTCTTTTTCTACTCTTTATTGTTCATAGTACCTTTGGGCCCATTCAAGCACTGCATGATTTGTAATCACAAAATCTCATTATCAGATGGTCACACAAAGTGCCTTTTTTGTTTAGGCGAGGCGCATCAAAAGATGGGGCGTCTATCCTACTTATCAGCGCCCCCAATTCAATCAATGAAGGTGACCTTACAATTCCTACCAAAGGTTCCAACATGAACCCCAATGTCAGAACTTCTACACACCATACTTCAAACAATAACAATACAAACAAAAACGTTGCCAGCAACCTATCCAAAGGCGCAATAACTGCAAACCCAAACATCATGTTTGACGTTTTCCTGACCAAGATCGCAAATCAACCCCCTTTCCTCTGGAAACACTTACCTGCCTGCCAATTCATCACCACCGACACCTGGGTTGTTTCCATTGTCCAAAATGGATACCGCATCCATTTCCATCAACTCCCTCCATCGCATCACATCATCACTCCACCGTCCCAAACTCTATAAGAAGAGATTTAAAAAATTACTCATCAAGGACACAATAGAACCTGTACAACAAAACAACAATGTTTTTTTCTCTCATTATTTCACCGTCCCCCAAAAGGGCGGAGGTTTATGACCCATTCTAGACCTCAGAGAACTCAATATGTCATCACCACAAAATTCTGTATGATAACCTTCAAATCCATTCTACCTCTTCTCGGAAAAATGACTGGTTCACAGTCATAGATCTACGAGATGCATACTTCTCCATCTCCATCCACCCCCCTACAGACAGTTTCTTCGATTCCAACTCCGGCCCCGAGCCTACCATTTCAAAATACTTCCTTTCAAACTTGCAACAGCTCCCAGAGTCTTCACCAAGTGCATGGCGCCAGTGGCTGCCTCTCAGACTTCAAAAGATCCTCGCCTTCCCATACATAGATGACTGGCTCCTTTTAGCTTGTTCCTGCCACAAAGCTCACCGAGACACCCTTTTCACCTTATCCCTCCTTCGCGATCTTGGTCTCACCGTCAACATGCAAAAATCCAAAATGAGCCCTACAACGATTATTCATTATATCGGGGCATCCATAGACTCCACCCAAGCTCACACGTTCCTTCTGCTCGACAAACAACAAAACTTCATCTCCCTTCTCCAAGGTTTAACCCCCATGCCTTGGTTCCTGCCATCCTCATTCAGTGTATACTAGGCACCATGGCCTCCATGACCTCAGTTGTACAACACGTATGCCTGAAGATGAGGTCTCTACAATTGTGGTTTCTCACACTTTTCGATCCACTGACAGATCCTCCCAACACTCTTTTAAGAGTTACTCCCGAACTCGCCTCACAACTCCAGTGGTGGCGTATCGTCCCAAATCTCTATATGGGATGCCCTTTCCAGCAACCACATCCTCACATATAGCTCACAACCTTACTGGCTGGGGAGTGCATTGCGGCTCTCTCAAAATACACGCCAATTGGTCCTGCAGAGAATGTTCACTCCACATCAACAAGTTAGAACTATTAGCGGTAATAAAGGCATACAAAACATTCAGAAACGTTCTAGCTGGCAAGGTGGTCCAGATTGCCACTGACAATACCACAGCCATGTACTGTATTCTCAAACAAGGAGTTACACACTCCCCAAACCTCCTCTATTTGGCAGTTGACCTATGGGAATGATGCCTCTCACACCACATATGCCTCACAGCTCTGCACATCGCAGGCCAGGACAATGACCTAGCCAACTCTCTCAGCCTCACAAACTCCATGAGTGGGAATTAGATCAAACAATTTTCCTCCACCTGTGCAAAAGATGGGGAAAACCGACTCTAGACCTTTTTGCATCCTGCAAGAATCAGAAATACAAGCGCTATTGCTCCTGTGCCAGGATCAGCAAACACTCCCGAGGAGACGTATTCGTTGGCCACTGGCCCAAGACCCTCATATACCTCTTACCACCACTTTCACTCCTCCACAGGGTAATTGTCCGAATACAACAGGACAAACCCAACGCTATCCTCATTGCTCCCTGCTGGCCAAGACAGCCCTGCTTCCCAGTGCTACACCACCTGTCCTCCAACGTCTGTCACCTCCCCCGCCTACCACACCTCCTCACGCAGAACAACTCCTGGATCCTTCATCCCGACTACGCTGCTCTGCACCCGGCAGCATGGAGGATTCTCCCTCCTTGATGGATGCTCTCCGTCAAGTAAAGAAACCCTCAACTAGAAAAGCTTACCTGTATAAATGGAAAAAAATTTAATCTTTTACTACAGCTCTTTCTCTTCCTACTGTCAACCTGTCTCTCTCCACGGTTCTCCAATATTTGCTCCATCTCAAATCTTCTGGTCTTTCTCTCTCGTCTATTAGAGTCTGTCTATTGGCAGTCGTCTTGTACTAACCACCGACCTTTCCAGCGGCTCGATTTTTCAGACATCCTATGCTCAAGTGCTTTCTTAAGGGATTGTCATACGCTTACCCAAACGTTCACCTGCCCTCACCACAATGGTCCTTGACCTTAGTCTTGCGACAACTCACTAAAACTCCGTTTGAACCACTAGTCTCAGCAGATATCCATCTACTTTCCTTCAAAACGGCCTTTCTTGTTGCAATTACTTCAGCTCGCCGAGCAAGCAACCTTGCGGCCCTACGCCATGATTACCCTTATATACAATTCTATCCTGGTAAAGTAAAGCTGTTCCTCGATGTCTCCTTCCTCCCTAAAGTAGTGTCTCAGTTTCATCTCTCTCAACCACTGGTCTTCCCATCTTTCTTTCTGTTGCCATCCACAACCCATGAACAACTTCTTCATACTTTGGATGTTAGGAGGGCCCTCTCCTTTTATTTGTCGCATACGCAACCCTTTTGACGTTTCCCACACCTTTTTGTCAGCCATCAACTTCCTAACAAAGGCCTACAAGTCACCTCCCAGACTATTTCTCTCTGGGTTGCCTCTACTATTCCACTTGCATACCAGCTTGCTCGACAGCTGGTCCTCAAGCTATTCACCCTCATTCCACCAGGGCGTTGGCGGCCTCTACAGCATTCCTACGTGGTGTGCTTCTCCCCAACATCTGTGCCTCGGCTACGTGGGCACAACCATCTACCTTCGTCTGACATTATAGACTAGATGTTTGACAGAAGTCTGATGCGCCATTTGGACGTGCTGTTTTGGCTTCTGCCTTGGCGTGACACCCTGTCTTCAGGTAAGACAGCTTGCTAGTCACCTACAGTGTGATTCACAGAGGTCATGAAGAAGAACGACAGGTTACTCACCTGTAATTGTAGTTCTTCGAGTGGACCTCTGTGATTCACACATCCCACTCTACCTCCTCTTTGTCACGCCATACAATCTTTTTTTCCTTGTGGCGGTTGACACAATTGAAGAGAGAGTCCTGGCGCCAAGATACTTATACTGAATGGTTGGAGTCTATTCTAATATGTCTTCTGCTACCGCAGAAGCTCTAGAATATGCCGAAGAGATTCTGCGCAGGCGCGGATCACCCACAGTGTGAATCACATAGGTCCACTTGAAGAACTACAATTACAAGTGAGTAACCTGCCATTTCATGGTAGGCAGCCTGACATTGGTGGCAGCCAGGGACAGAATAGCAGGAGAAGGAGCTATGACAAGACACTAACTCCATAATTACATAACCTTCAGAACAGGTGGTTATTGGATGAGCGATCCATGTTAAAAAAACTCCTAAATAAATGGGATAAAACAGTGT